ACACTGACCACCAGGGGCAGCTCCTGTGTTGAGCATCTTCCCCCTGGTTATCAGTGCACATCATAGCAACTGGTCAACCAGTTGTTCTGGTCATTCCACCATTCAGTCGCTGGGCTTTTATTATATAGGATAAATCCATATAGTTTTGAAATTTTCATACTCATCATCTTATTTCTGTTATTTTCCTTAAAATATTACATTATGACACTTGCTGTTTGTAAATACTCAAAGTTCTTAAAATTGTATAATTTAAAAACTCATAAGGTTGTTTATTTATAAATGACTATATTTTATACATATGTATTTATAATATACTTTGAGCCTACTGCCATATCAATTAAAGTGAAGGGTTGCTAATACATGAAATGGATTAAGTTCACTCTAGAGAAGAATAATCAAAATAGAGCTATCACTATGCCCCCCCTTACTCTTCCCTATCACACTTACTAAGTAAATTTCAAATGCTATCTTTTTAGGGATTTGTTGGCTATATTAGAAAGCTGTATCCACTGATGACTAACAGATAATTTGTATGCATTTATTTTACCCAGGTCACTAACGCATTAAATGATGTGTTCCAATTTTAAAAAATACTCTGGCTGTAAAATCAGCACATCAGGAGACCATAATCCCCAAGCATACTATGATCTGTATTAGTCCTTTAACTATTTTGTAACTCTGTCTCTATTTTGTCTTTACGTTTTTCAGTTTCCCACTCTATGAATGTTTCACATTTGCTTCTATTTTACAGTGCTGTGTTTTCTGTGGTTTAGAAGTTAACTACTTCATTAGACTTAATGCAACGAACTGAGAAAATATAAATAGACCAAACAACAACTTTCCTGTTGAGTGTGAGCTTTTCTACTAATTTTAGGGTTTTGAGGGAAGGTTCATTTTCTCAAGCTCTAAAATGTTCATAGCTAAGACTACTTACATTAAGTGGGAGCCGACCTAAAAACAAGCATCAGATATTCTGCACTCATCAAGATGAACAGTAGTTCCCAGCCCTGGAAATGTGCAAAATCTTCATAATGAAGAGATGGGCACTTCTCTATTGTGTATTTCACACATAATCTCATATCTCCACAATCTTTGGCTTCTACAGATCACTCAGCGTAAATGAGCATAATATTTCTTGAATAACTGTGAATTGAGTGACTATTAGGTGGTAGAGATAACTGGATAAGCACATTTTGAAATGGTTGATTAATTTCCAATTGATATATTGTGTATGATAATGGAAATTCTCTGTTATAAAACAATTAGTATTTCTTACTATGTAAAGCCAGTTCTGATGTTGGAAGCACATTATCCACATTTGTTAAATTTGCTATTTTCCTATAGACTTTTGAGGGGAGAACAGGGGGTAAATTTTACTTAGATTGAGTCAGTTAACTTTTCTGTTTCTTTTCAACCTTGTAATGGGATTTGGAATTGAGGCCATAGATTTTAAAGTTCGTGTGTGTGTGTGTGTGTGTGTGTGTGTGTGTGTGTGTGTGTGTTGACAGTGAGATACGGACAGAATATTGCCTTGAAAATAATTTGATGATTTGAGTTGACTCACTATAAAATTATAGGTGTAGAGAAATGTTAAGCATTAGTTTTTGTCTATCCAGTTCCCTTTATAGTCAAAGGAACAGATGATGATGCAGGTTCAGTAACCTGATGTAAGTTACACTTAGTGGCAGAGCCACAATTCTATCTTTAATATTGAGTTTCCCAGTTTTTTTCTCTCCTTTTCTAATGTGTATTTTTTCTTTAATAAATATTTGTTGAACTCTTGAACTGTTCTAGGCACTGAGGTTAATGACAGTGGTCAAAATAGAGGAAATTCCCTGCCCTCATGAGTTTATAGTCTAGTTTAATTCTGTTCATTCCACATCATGGCTTTTTATTTATCTAAGATACTGAAAATATAAATTATTCAAATTTTAAATTTTTGATAGAAATATGGTAAGGATTTTCATTTCATTAGTTAGGTAAATTTTGAATGCTTTCATAATTAAAAATAGCAAGGGGAAATTAATTTATATATTGAGTATATTTTACCTATTGATGATTTACTTATCGTCAATGAATATTTATTTATCATTTCATAGGTTTATGTACATATTTATTAATTTAGTTTTATTTAAAAGTGTAAGGGAAAACATCTGTGAAAATAGTTTGCTATTTTTATTTAAGCAGATTTATTAAAGAACATTTTGGAAAACATAAAGTGGAAAGAAAAAAATTACATCACTTGAAGCCAATTGCTGTAATTCTTTAAATACATTCTCTTTTTGTCTTAATCCTTTTGATTTTTAACACAATTTGTCAATTGACAAATTAATAGCAATATAATATACTATACAGAACAACATAGAATAATAAAATGCAATATACTTTGGCTTTATCAAGATTATTTTTCTTTAAGAAATTAAGAGGTAGATAATTTATTCACAATTCATTTAGTCTTGGAGTTTCACTTTCATTTTTGTGTACTTTATGAGAGCTGTGATCATAATCATATACTTTTTATCTTTTTAAAATTTTATCACTAGAGATAAGCATTTTTTGCATTTATTTTAAAAACTAGTTTTAATTCTGTATGAATTGATGATAGGTAGTTATATAAATTTCCATTGTCATTGGACATTTATTTATTTACTTATGCCAATCTGGAATTGTGCTTAATAATACTACAGTGAATATTACATGTGTTGGTTCTCAACCTCTTGATTTATGCTCAGAGTAAAATTAGTAATAAGTCAAAGGCATTAATTATTATTATGGTTATTATACATAAAAATCAAATAGTTGAAAACCAATGAGCACTTATAAATGGATGAGAGGTGTATTATGAGTGATCATTTGAGAACTGGTCACAGAAATGAAACATAAAGAAATATAACCCTTTTTTCTCTCTTCAAACACCCCTAGTTCCCCATATAAAAAGAGTAACAATGTTGACAGAGGAAAAGAAATGAGGTAAATCAAAACAGCCTTTTAAAAGCCCTGTTATTTTCATAGCACCAGGGATTCCAATAATATAGCAGCTGTTAATCTCTTCTGTTAAAAAATAATACATATAAATTATAAGATTAAATAAAATCTACCCATTATCCCATAATGCAGAGAGAATCTACCATTTTAATGCATTTGCTTTGTGCATATGTGTGTTTTTGGCAGGTGGGGTAAATGTATAAAGTGAGGTCATACTACATGTGTGACTTAATATCCTGCTTTTATTATTTTACATAATGTGAACACTTCTCTGTTGCCTTTTTCAATTTACTTAGTGTCTGTATAATATTCCATAATTTATTTATTTATTTATATTTGTCTTATTTCTACCTTTTCTGGATATAGTAAATATTAATCAAATGTACATTTTAAAGCAAATTGGTAGTTCTAATAATGTAATTCAAATAAATACATATAATTAGGACTACTAATTTAAAGAGAATGCCATTTCTGAAATTTATTTGTGTAAGTGGAGGTAGGGTTTATCTTTTAAATTTTTGTACCAAGTCTCCTTTAGGTTATTACGATGCTCTGTAGCCTTTGACACATTATTTGGGTCTCAGATCTATAATTATTTTTTTTGGACAAATTTATGCCTATCAGACAGTAGTTGAGTTGTCAGTGTCACTAACTAAAAGGAATTTCTGAGGGTTCAAAAACAAATGAAATTCTCAATATTAAATAAATATCCATTATGCTTATTTTGTGCTGACCATATGATTACATGGTGATTTTAATTACCTCCTCAATAATATATATGTTTTATTTATTCATTTATTTTTATCTGAGAGTGCTTTAGTGCTTTGTAATTCTTTAAGGATTTCCAAACTGCATGTGTGGGCAAAGAAACTATAATCTCTCTCATGCAGTTTCTCTTTCTATTTCTCTCTCTCTCTCTCTCTCTCTCTCTCTCTCTCTCTCTCTCTCACACACACACACACACACACACACACACACACACACACATACACACACTCTTCTATGGTTACATGTTATTTTTTTCTTGCTGTTGGTCTGGCTGGCCTGACTTTAATCTTCGGGATGAGAACAAATATTTACAGAAAGAGTAAGTCTTTGGCAGACTACCTGTAAGAAGGTTTTTCTACCTGCCTATACCTTGGGCTCTTATGGAGCTGCCTCAACAGGAAGGGCAACTAAGTATTCTAGAATCGGGATGATAAATGGTTGAGTTGAGGTCACCAATTGGAATGAACTCTGAAGTGAGTAGTAGATTTGTATGTGATTGCTAGAATTTTAAAAAGACATCCACATTTGACTATAGTAGGGCAGTCTTCATGGAACTGTTCATGGCATAACACATCTGGGTCTCCACGTTTTACCCAGCTCAGTTCCTTAGGCTCTGTAATTGTGCATGGGAGCTCTTGGGCTGTGCCCTGAAGACTTGCACAGTATAAATTTGGCTGGGTGGAGGAAGAAGAGCATCCTTGGAGAATAAGTCGTGGTAAGTTTTAGTGTGCCTGGAGCACAAAGCTTAGTTGCTGAATAATGTATATTTAGTATATGTTGAATCAGTTCCAGATTTATAAAGGCTGTAACAGTACATCTTGTATATTATATTTTAGTGTGGCCTGTACCAGAAGGGACAGAAGAAGGGATGAAACTAAAAAAACCCCCAAAAACCAAAAAACAAACAAACAAACAAAAAGCCTCTCTTCCTCCTTTTGGCCAGAATGGGATAAGTGAAGGTGGCAGAAGATAGTGAAACATTGTTAAAGTGAAGTTTTTAGTTTCTCCATCTGATCTCACTTATTCATATCCAGATTTCCATCAAAAACTGATTTCAGGGTGAATTCTTTATATATACCGTAAACAGTGTTGTAAATTGTTAAACTAATATGTGTATAGATGGGGTCCCACATTCAGGCTTGACATTATCCCAGGAGATCAATACCATATATGAAATGCAATAAAAACAGTAGTTAGGATAGGAACTAGTGTAGATGCTTGAATACATATCTTATACTATTTTTCAGGGAAAGGTGATGTATTTGGAGACATCTTCTGGAAGGAAACCACCCTTGCTCATGCGTGTGCCAATGTCCGGGCGCTGACATACTGTGATCTCCACATCATCAAGCGAGAAGCCTTGCTCAAAGTCCTGGACTTTTACACGGCTTTTGCAAACTCATTCTCAAGGAATCTCACTCTTACTTGCAATCTAAGGAAACGGGTATGTTATCTGGATCCATTTCCCCTTTTATTATTCAGAGGGTTACTATGTCATGCTTTATTAGTGGAGGGTTGGAAAGTTATTTAATTTTCAGGAGTACATCCCAGCAATGTGAAGTAACATCATTTTTCCCCCCTTTATTTATCTTTTGCTTACTTTTTAAGGGGAAAATAGCACCTGAATATATGGAGAAATATTTAAATCATTGCAATTTAAGATGTAAAATGAAAAAACAGGCTTGAGGAAAAGCAACCAGCTATACTATAATTAGTTCTCGGGGTTTATAAAACTGCTAAAAATTACTATTAGTGTCTCTTTCTCTATTATGTGGATTTTTTAAAATCTGGTAAAATTAATCAACCTGGTTGTATGTTATATACTCCTGATTCATTTTAATGTTTTTTATTGGTGAGAGAGAGAGAGAACATTCATTGGTTGCTTCTTATATGTGCCCTGACTGGAGATTGAATCTGCAAAGTTGGCATTATTGGGATAACACTCACCAACTGAGCTACCTGGCCAGGGCCCGATTCACTCTAAAACTTCCTTCTCCATTAATTCTTGTTCCCTATTAATTCTTTCCAAGCATACTATCTCAAAAAATAATTAACCACACTGACATATCCTGCAAATAGTTATAGGGATTTTTTTTACTTTGCACTGCTGATGCATATATAACCTTCATTGCCATTTTATTTTTTTATTGATGGTGTGACACAGATTTAATTTGCATAAAGAAACCTCCTAGCTCTGATTTGTGGGTCTTTGGGCATTAGATAGCGCTCTTTTATTGCCATGGATGATATGCACATTTGAATAACTGCACGGAAGGAATTTCATGTAAAATGATTGGCTGTCTATTGTGGTAAAATATTTTGAAATAACAAGCCTTCCCTTCTACCCCATTAAACTGAACCTTCCCTGTAGTTAACATGGAGGAAAAAAGTCAACCCAAGAGACAAATTAACTTCTCTACCGTACGAACAGAAAAATGACAATAAGCAGATCAATGTTCTAAAGGAAGATAAGGCTGCAGCAGTCATATTCGTACTAGCTGTGTCACAATATTTTGTTCTGTTCTTGAATAGCATTTTTGGTCTGTATTTTTGTTACTAACAAATAGTTATTGAGCATCCACAGCCTGCAAGACAAAATGTAAAGAGCTGTCGGCAGCACAAAGACTAAATACAGTCTTTACGTCAAGGAGCCTGCAGTCAATTGCGAATATTATGTGAAACACAATTATTGGGAAACGTATATTTGTGCAAGTAATTGAAAGTTAAGGTGGTGATAAATGTGGGAGAGGAGTGCCATATATAAAGTCAGGGTTGCTTATTTGTTAGGGAGCTCTGAGTCCCTTTAAATATTAAGCAAAACCGTCTCCTTTGGTGTATGCTCTACCTTCTCCAATGATAGATTCTTTCTCTAGAAGGCAGTCTGTTAGATATTTGAAGCTCTTATATTTTAAGTCTTTTACAATATAAATTTTCCAGTTTGGGAATCTTTTCACTTACTGCAAGGTTATCAAACCTCCTATCTATGTTGTTCCAGTCCTTGTTATGGTGATCTTATTTGTCATTGTCGTCCTGAAAGCATGTTGTTTACACAGAATCTCATCTGATGTTTATCATATTCCTGTGGAGAAAAAAGGGCCATTATTTTCTCTTCAAAACACATAAGGAAGGAAACTCAGCCCCAGAAAAATTAATAGCTGATCACCAATTGATATGTTTATAATGCAAGGTCTCATAGACAGATAATTAAGAACTCACCAAGAAAAAATAAATTTTGGTTCTTCAAAATGAATTCATCCCAAAACTCTATTGTCCCTTTTTCTCTTTCATACATCTGAGCATGTGCACACACACACACACACACACACACACACACGTGCAACACACACACTCACATAGCCATGTATACACACACACACAACACACACATACACACACACTCACAGGTTGTAAGAGTTGAGTGCACATACCAGCATGATTGCCTCTGATAGGAAGAGAAGCCAGAGACAAAATCAGGTAGTTTTTGTAAGGAGATATGAAAAAATACACTCCAATGATTCATGAGAATAGCTACCATTTTAAGAGCCTCTTTTATAGTCAGGTACTTCAACATATTTTACATATAATAATTCACCTTATTAAATGTCAACTACCCACAGACAACAAAACCCTGTATAATCTATTTTGTCGATGAGGAAGTTGACACACTCTCAGCAATTTACAGCTTTACCTTTGTTCAATCATTCCCAAATGAGCTACTAATAAAAAAAATACTTTATTCTTACTGCTATTATTGTAAGGATTCTTGCAATTAACATTTGCTGTGAGTTGTATAATAAAACGATGTCTTTAGTGTGCTACTGACATCTCAGAGCTGTCATACTCATACTTAAAGGTGTGCTTCTAGTAGATTGGAGGGATCCGGTTTTGAGAGTCCCGATTTAGAGTCAACATTGGGCACAGTTTTGGCCACATAAGTCAGTGGCTTGTATGGTGTGCAGTTCTCCGTGGCTGCCCTAGGGAGGCATACCACAGTGCTTTAGCAGCTTGCCTTTATTCCAATTAAAGAACAATCATATTTTTTTTGTTTTGCAAATATAGCTCTCACTAAACATCCGTAAGCCCCTTTATATAAAACTGGTAATTTCATCCAACAACCAGAGCAGAACTTGGCAACTTTTTCTGTCAAAGACCAGAAAGTTGATGTTAGGATTTGAGGGCCATTTGGTCTGTGTCTCACTCCTCACTGGTGCCACTGCAGAGTGACAGCAGCTGCCGTAGCTTGGGCAGCCATCACAAAGTACCAAGATTGGGAGGCTTGGACAGCAGGAATTTAGGAATTTATTTGTCTCAGCCTGGCCCCTGCAAGCTACCTTTCTCTGGAATGCCAAAATCATGTTTATTAACCCAGGGACCAGCCCTTCTGAATGGGTCTGAGAAGGCAAGTGGCACATCCAGTACAGGTGACATATGAATTTTAAAGGATTCTAATTGGACTTTTAAAGCAGTTTGGCTCTCCTGCTCATGCTGCCTAGTGGTTACAGAGTGCCTTTTACTATTTATGTAAAAGGAGTTAATACAGCAGGTATGACTGCTGTAGTTTGAAAGACATGCTTGTGCTTTGGGCCCTTGGGCTGGCATCTGGAAACTTGAATTTCAAGAGGGTTCCAAAAACTGAGAAGAGCGGCTCCCTGTGGCCACACTCTTTATTCAAACAGCATGGTTTATGCTAACCATTTACTTACAGGAGTCTGGATTTGGTGTGTGCCAGGCATGTGACCAGCTTCCAATAATATTGCTGGGCACCATGTTCCTAGTAAGTCTCCCTAGTGGCAACTTTCCCAAGTGTTGTCAGGACTTGTTAGAAAGAGGACCTTTGGAAACTTGTGCTTAGCGACCCCTGGACTTCACCCACCTGTTGTTTCCCTTTGCTAGTTTGCTTTGTATCCGTATGCTGTAGGAAGTCAAAGCCGTGACTCTATCCTAAACTCTGTGAGTCCTCTTAGCACACCATCCAACCTGGGTGTGGTCTTAAGGACTACCGATGCGCCATTTATAAAGGTTGATGAGAAGTCTGTATTCTCATCAAGTCTGCAGATATTTTGGTAATTTCACTATAACCTTTACCCCATAAAAGATGCTGACACCTACTGATGGAATGCTTTGTGAGTGTAGAAGGAAAAAGTATTTTAAAATTGGTAGCTATACTTGTCCACGAGGCTGTCAGGAATATTCCATTTCTTTGAAACCTAAAATAAATGCTGCATTAGCACTTCTAACAACATTAAATGTGGCTGGGAATTTTTATTATTTTCTAAGTATTTTCTTCACTTTCAAAATAGCCAGAACACATTTTCCTCCAGATTGACTGTTTAAATAGGATGAGTGAAGAGTTTTATTTGTTACTTTCTGTACCTCTTCTGGTGAGACACTTGGATAAAGTGCGGCACAGAGAGTATTGGCTGGCTCAGTATATATTCGGTATACAACCATCATGCTCCTACTGCAAAACGATGGGATAAGGAAGGTAAAAGGCCAAGTGCCTGCTCTTCAGGAGTCTTCAATCTAGTGAGGGAGTCAGTTGAATACCAACACTAGAGTCAGATAAGTGCTATGAGAGGGCTACCCTCAGGGCATCAAGGGGGCATAGAGGAGATGAATCTAATTCATCCCAGGAAATAGGGATTCCAGAAGGTGATGCAATGCTGGAGTTAGAATTTTATTTCAAACAGAGAAATCTTCTAGAGCAAGGAAGGATCTTGCAGATTGTTTAGGTCCAATCTATTTTCTTTAAAGATGAGAAAACTGAGACCCAGAGAATTGCACGATTTGCTCAAGTTCACTTAGGTCAGTGGTCGGCAAACTGCAGCTTGCTAGCCACATGCGGCTCTTTGGCCCCTGAGTGTGGCTCTTCCACAAAATAGCACGGCCTTGGTGAGTCTGTTTTGAAGAAGTGGCATTAGAAGAAGTTTAAGTTTAAAAAATTTGGCTCTCAAAAGAAATTTCATAATTGTACTGTTGATGTTTGACTCTGTTGACCAATGAGTTTGCTGACCACTGGCTTAGGTAATTAGCTGTAGAGGTGGGACTGGAATCCCCATTGGTGCACAAATTCATGCTGGCTGTATTTCTGCTGTTCAGCCCAGATTAGAAGCATTATGTAGGAAATTATGAGTAAGATGCAATACTGAATTGTATTCATTTTTAATAGGGAAGAAGGATGTATATGGCATGAGTTTGTATGAGATTAATAGTTTGATTTTAGTGTTTTTCACACTGCTTCAGAATAAAACTAATAGTGGAGCCAAAAAAGAAAGCTATATGTAGTGTTCAGAGTGCTAATCAAGACTCCAGGCTCAGCATGAGCCATTGTATATGGTATGGCCACAGAAGGTATGTCACTAGCATTATGAAGAGTCTTGTTTTAGTAAAAGCATGTAACTTACCTATAGTATTGTTCAAGTGATGTTGCTGAATATGGAAAAT